TGTATTAAATCAATTCAAGTTGTTGTTGTTGCTTCTATGGTTCCATCAGAGCAGATGTATGAAAAGCCCTGATAACCATTTTTGCTCAGCTGCACTTCTGACACTTGCAGAAATCATTTACCATGCTTATGTGTGTCCAAACAAACTAACAGAGTTAAGCCACCGATACAAGGAAATTTTCCTATGTCTGGAATGGAATGTGCACTTTCTCCTTGCAGTGACCCACGCTGCTTAACTAATTTTGGAGAAGGTTTGGCATAGGTTGGTGATAAGTAGATTTGGAGGGATGAAGTGTGAAGCTTGCTGTGGTAGATAAAAAAGAACTCAGACCTGCTGATCATCGAGAAGAGACAATAATGGTTGAAACCATTTAGACCAGAAAATAGGGAAGTAGCTAAATCTGGAATACGAGGCTACCAGAAAGCATCATAGAGCAAGATGAGACAATCAGGATCAGACAGGAAGATTAAACTGGAAAAGAGTACAATTAGGTGCATATGTGTAAATGATACATAAAATGGAACTAGAGGATTGGTAGCAATGGTTAATTAAGATGTGGTAGGAATCTTAGAGACATGGATGTCTAAACCAGAATGGTGGAAAGGAATATAACTTACAAGCGTACAGGCTACATACAATAAACAATAAAAAATTACAATTGTAAAGAGCCTTTCAATTCGGGAGGACTACGTTGGGTGGGCAGGCAGCGGACATGGTGCAGGCTGGAACCTGCTGAGTGGATGGAGCCAACAGGTTGATTCCGGGTTAGCAGATCAGAGAGGTAAGAGGGGTCAAGACAATGGAGGGCCTTGAAGGTGAGGATGAGGATTTTCAACTTGATCCTCTGAGGGATGGGGAGCCAGTGGAGCCGAGTGAGCGTGGGTGTGATGGGGTCACAGAGCCTGGTACAGGAGAGGACCCAAGCTCCAGAGTCCTGATGATCTGCAGCTTGCGGAAGGACGAATTGGGAAGACCGACAAGCAGAGCATTGACATAGTCGATCTTGTTTGTAATGAAGCCATGTGTAAGGGTTTCAGTGGTACAAGATGGTGCAGGGGCTGGAGGAGAAGCCATTTGTGGAGACAAAGTGGAGCCAGTGTGAGGTTTTCTTGAATTACTTCTAATAATAATAATAATCCTTGGATTTCTTGTATCAGCTAGCCTATGACTATGTGCGTTCAAGTCCTGACCTGGGATTTCACCCCATAACCATCTGATTCAGAGGCATGGCACTTAGCCAAGCTGATACACATGACCTTGGCACTATTCAAAGATTAGGAGTAGTTGATCTACAAGGGGACAATGACAACAACAACAACAAGATTCCATTTATAGAGTGCCTTTCACGTCGGGAGGACGTCCCAAGGCGCTGAAATGACATCAGCTGATTATCATTGAATTACATTTGGAAAGCAACACAAGAATGTAATCAACTGTTAGTGTACATATTTTGGTGGGCGAACTTCTGGGGTCTGAAGGCTTAACCAAGAGGCTTAGACTGGGAGGATCACTCAAGGACAAACCAGTTATAGAAGATTATGCAGTACATGCTGGACAAATATAGAAAGTAAATCAATGGCAAAGTAAACAAAAACACCAAAATGGATCAATAGAAAAATAAAAAGTGAGATGAAGAACAAACAGAAGATTTATAAAGATTGTCGGGAGAAAGGAGACAGTGATCATTGGGCGGAATACAAGATTGTACAGAAAGAGGTTAAAAAAAACATGAAGGGATCCAAGAGACAACTGGAAAGGAATATCAAAACTCAAAAACATAAACCCTCGAATCCTTTCAATGTTAGGACAGGGAAGACATCAACATTTTAAAGGATTCAAACAAGCTTAAAAAGAGAGAATGGACTGAAGGTAGCAAACACTGAAGAATTCCTGGAGTTCTTTTTTTACCATTAAAATCATGACCAATAACATCTTACATTTGTTTCAGCTTGACTCAGTTGTCAACACTCTCACGGCTGAGTCAGAATACTATGTGTTCAAGCCCCACATTTGGACACGGAAATCATATAGACAAAATAACACTCCAATGTGCAGCGTTTTTGGAGATGCTGTCCTTCGGATGAGAAGTTAAACCAAAGGCTCAACTGCCTGTTCATCAAAGATCCCATGGCACTATTCAAAACAGAAGGGAATTTCTCCAGGTTTCCTGGGCAACAGTCCCCCAATTGGAAATAGACTTTATGGCTGCTTGTGGTATATTGCTGTGCACTAAAAGACAGTCACTGAACTTTAGAGTATATTCTATGAAGTGCTTTGAGACATCCTCCAAAATTTGTAACGAGTGTGTAACCACATAGATTATGCTGTCAGCGCCTGAGGCAAGAAGGCACTGACTGAAAAGGAGAGCTGCTGTCTTGTCAACATTCAACTGGAGGAAGTTAGCGCTCATCAGGACTTGATGTCTAAACAGGCAATCGATCAGAACAGCAGTAGTCCTCGAAACAAGTTCGGAAGCAGAAATAGAAATTTGGGTGCTATTCACCTGCATTTGGAAGTTAACTTCATGTCTGCAATGACATCACTGAGCGGAGCATGTTATTATTAAAAAGAAAAAGACCAAGGATAGAGCTCTAAATTACTTGGAATTATAGACCCAATTAAAAAGTGTGTACATGGGCTGCTAAATCAAGAATAGATAAATTAATGGTAAACTAAGTATAGATAAACATATGCGATAGACCAATAGGAAACACAAGTAATAATAATAATAATAATCCTTGCATTTGATATAGTGCTTTTTACGTCTTCTCGACGTCTCAAAGCGCTTCACAGAATATGCTGTAAAGTGAATTGACTGTATATTTGTGGGCAAAACACAGCAGCCAATTGTGCATGGCAGTGTCCCACAAACAGTCATGGATTGAAAATGACCAATTTATTATTGTTTTGTTTTGGAGGGATTCTTATTAGGTGTGTGGAGTAAGGAAACTTGCCCAAGGCTTTGTCCTGCCTGGAATTGAACCCAGGTGTCTCGCTTGCAAGGTGAGTGCTCTAACCACTGAGCCACAGGACTGGACAGAACTTGCCAAGAGGAAGCTGAAATAAATCCAGGTGTGAGTGACTCATCACTCACTATGTCAAAACAGTGCAAGATAGCAATAAACAAGACAAACAGGATGCTTTGCTATTTGCTGCACTAAATCATTTGAGTTAGATCCTAAGATATCACACATAGCTTTGCTCAGATCACACCTTCATTGTTGCACAGCGATTTGGTCACTGTGACAATGGGGCTGCCAAGATCCAATAGGCAGTGCAGAGGAAAGCAGCGAGGATGGTCCCAGGATTAAGGGAATGAGCTTTGAAAGTTGTTTAAAATTTTATGGGATTGAAAAAGTAAACCCAGATCAATATTTTAGGATGTAACAAAACAGCAGAATAAGAGGACATAGGTTTAGAGTTGGAAGGGCAATATCAGGACAGATACCAGGTTTTTCTTCACTGAAACTACAATAAACGATTGAGGCTGTGATGGGGGCATGGTAGGGGGGGAAGGAAGGGAGGGATGGGTGATGGTGTGGGTTCTGAAAGGATGAGATCAGATAGGCCAAAGTGTCTTGTTCAATGAAACCAATCTTGTGATCTTGTGAGGAAGTGGTGGGGACGCCCAAGGGTGCACTTGGTTGTATTGTTGCAGTTTAACAAGCTAAAGTCTCAAAGGTTGCCATTGAAAGCACCATCTACCCAGCTTCAATCCTTGTCTAGCTAGGACCACTCTTTTCATTAGGTTTTTGGCCTGCAGAGTTAACAATATCTGAGTGGGAAGATACCCCACTCCCAATGACAGGTCTACTCCTTGAAGTATTGCTTCAAAGTGATTCCAAAGTTCTTTTGCCAAGCAAGTCACACTGGACCGAGCTCGGCTACAAGGGGACGCTGTTTGCTTACTCCCTCCAAGGCAATCACTGGTTGAAATCAGACAAAGAAATACCAGGAATTCCCTAGAAACCAGCAGTGAGCAGCCGAACTAATAATAATAATAATAATAAAATAATAATAATCCTTGCATTTGATATAACGCTTTCATGTCTTCTAGACGTCTCAAAGCGCTTCACAGAATATGCTGTAAACTGAATTGACTGTGTATTTGTGGGCGAAACGTGGCAGCCAATTGCGCACAGCAGTGTCCCACAAACAGTCGTGGATTGAAAATGACAAATTTATTATTGTTTTGTTTTGGAGCGATTGTTATTAGGTGCGTGAGTAAGGAAACTTGCCCAACTAAGCATGAAATATGTGAGAGGATAGAGCCCCCTTCCTCCTGCCCCTCTTGGCAAACATCTGTGTGAATTTAGCAGAGGCTGTACGAGTTGGTGCGTTGCCATTTTACTGAAGCAACACTCTAAACATGTATTTAAAAAAAGGTTAAAGTAGGACAAACAGACAGTATCTCCCCAAAACACATAAAGCCACATCACGTTACACTATATCCTGTAAAGCGTTTAGAGACATTATGGTGACAGATTAAGTCACTACATTAAATTCATGGATAATTAATGAACACAAATTTGAATTAAACCCACTCTACAGTTTAGGCTTCACTTGTAGTGAGCCAGGACATGATGCCCACAACGATGTACCTCATGTTGTAAGAATGTATATCTGTTGTTACACAAACAAAGAAATATTGTGCACAGTTGTTACAGCCACTTTACTACAATAGCCACAGCCTAATGGATGGAAACAGTTTGTAACCCCTTGCTCTATATATAATCTGAGAGAGTGAGACTTTTGTAATGGAACTATTTAGTGACATTTACAAATACAGCAGATCGATTGGGGTTTTACTACCTAGTTGTTTCATGTGAGGTATATTTTTAGCAGTTACGTGAACAGCTCAACAGTTCAACACCCACGCCACAACTTTTTCACTGCGTTGGATGAATTGCATCATTATTTTTGAACCAGCTTTTATGTTAGCCCTTACCAAGTGTTGTTTCATTAATACTGAAGAGACAGCGTAACCAGAAGAGACTGGATTATGCAACTTACTTGTTTTTATTGAAAGGTTGATTGAACATGTTACACCACAGTTCCTATTGTTTGTACTCTGGTTTTAGTTTTGTAGCAGTTAAAGAACTATTTTTCTAATCAAGTAATTCAGTAGTTACCTTTATGGATTGATCAGATTCACATGAAAATAATGTTTGGCATTTAAGTACAGTTTTATAGATATCGTAAGCAACTTTACAAAACATTTCCTGAAGACATATAATGTAATAAAATAATAAATGGAGTCATGGTTGAAAAAGGGGCAAATAGAAAAGCAGCACAGGATAATGTGCACATTGTTCACTATGGTGGAAAACAATATACACCAATAACAGTTTCTGAGCCTGTTGCATTATATGGATCTTGGTTCCCTGCAGATAGCTGCTGCTGCTCCTCCGTGGTTTCTCACATGGACCGCTGCATACTCTGTATTCTTAATGGTACGTTTTAGGTTTTCCCATTTCATTGGAAGGATGTAAATCCTGAGAGGCATATGTCAGCTTGTTCCTTCTGCCCCTTGCTTGATCTGTAAAGACAATGTTTGAGAACATAATTATATGAATTAATTTACAGAAATCTCTTGAATATGCAGCACCACTTGCTCCATAGCTCATTTGGTGAAGTCACTGCTCCTTTAAAGAACTGAACAAACAGAATCCTGCGGCTACAAATTCTGTTACGAATAGGTTAGGAAAGAAAAGTGAAAATCAACCAGTGTATGAATTCTTCATTGACCTACAGAAATGTGGGGTGTATATTTCTATATATAGTTGATGTCCCAGTGCCTCATAGATTGAAACACAATTCCTAGTCTTACACAAGAAAAATAAGTATGTGGCTATACAGTGGCAGATTGTCGTGATCATATCACAACCCAGGACAGTGCCAGAGAGTGAAGGTTGGGGTAGAAAGAAAGATTAACCAAATAAACCATCTTACAATGAACATTGAAGTGAGTTCCACTCTATTTACCAAAGCAAGGAAAACCAATTGGATACAAAAGGTTTTACCATACCTCTTTGACCCGAACTCAGAGTTCTACAGCTGCATTTCTATTGATACATGATGCTTTTCTCCATTTATACACACAAAATTGAATTTTGGTATATAGGGACAATTTGTAAGTTTGCTGAAGAGTCAATTAACAGTGAAGAAGATTGTAGTTTCATTAAAAATATATTAAGACTGGTAGATTGGACAGAGAGGTGGCAGATGAAATTAAATGGAGAGCAGGGCAGTTGTACATATTGGGATGTGTACCCGGGTCTCACGGCATGCTGCGGGTGAGTGGCCCAGGCGGAACGTGCATTTTATACAATAGAACATTTTCTACCTGTATTTTGTAAAACTAATTAATTGTAGCGTGATATGGAAAAGATGGCTGAATGGGATGTGGACTCTTTGAAGAGCGAATAAAGGCACCATGGGCTGAATAGCCTTCTGTACATTTTGTAGTTGTATCACAACAAACTACGGAAAATTCTGATTAAATATGCAGCTAAATATATGCAGGGAGAGATTCTGCTAGGACATTTGTATTTGTCCATCAATCGCAATATATTAATGATTAGCGCCGCTTTACAGGATATTTTTCTCTCCTTGTCATCTGGAATTCTCTAAGCTATAAACTGAATTTTTGTGTTAAATGAAACATTTACATTTATCCTAAATGAAACAGGAATATATCTTACCTATCTTTTTAATTGGCATTCTTTGCCAATGATGATCAAAAGCAGCAGAAATACCAGGCCTCCCCCTGCACATCCAGCGATCAGCAAAATGGAAGGATAATCGTCACTCTCTACAAGAACAGCATAAACTGAATGTGTTATTGACCCCAGCAATGAGTTAAAGCTTTAGTAACTGCGCATTGTATCTGAATGGAGATGTTTTAGCAGGTTTTATTACTTAATTTTTTATTTTTAAACAAGGTCTTGGCAAGTCCACAAGAGAAACCAAATCGCCAGCTGGTCAACAAGACTTAGAATTGCAGGACAGTCACTGGGGTGAGAGGTCTAGCCAAACCTTCACCAAATACTATTCTGATTAGGCTGCAAAGGTGAGTCTCTACAGGGAGACGAAGCACATTCCATTCCAAACACAGAAAAAATTAGAGGTGCACGACATTATTGAGCGGAGACCAGAAGTTTGAAATTTGATCAGTTTTTAAATATACTTCTTCTCAGGGAGATGGTATGAATCCTTTCAATTCAAAGACTACACACATTAAGCTGATTCTTATCTTATGCATATTTATATGGAGTATTCGGTAAGAAACCTATATGATCATAATCTTCGGTTTCAATCAAATTAATATATTTTCCAACAAAAATTTAGTTAACAAAATTAACAGTTGGCCAATTTGAAGAGTCTTGTAGCTTAGTGGTTAGAGCAGTCACCACCCAAGCAGAGACCTTGGGTTTGATTACGGGGCCAGGCAAAAGGTTTGATAAGTGTCCTCACTCCACATGCTTCTCCACTGTTCACCTAAGTAGAAATCCGATTGTTAGTCGATAGGCAGATCTCTTTCCTGTGGGTAATAATACCTTAATAAACAATATTTTTTCAAAAATGATACAATGGTCACTCAACCCACGACCGTTTGTGGGACACTGCTCTGCGCAACTTGCTGCCGAGATTCACTCACAAAATATACAGTCAATTCATTTTCCAGTATATTTGTGACGCGCCTTCAGATATCTCGAAGATGTGATATGATGCTATATCAAATGCAAGGATTATTATTGTTAAATTACCTGTATTGGATTTAGAAACTGCATAGATGGCAACTGCTGGAATCCGGAGGCTGGTGTGAGATACCAGACAGGTATAAACAACCCCACTCTGTACAGTCTGTGCCTCTTCCAAATAGCTCGAAATTTCGTAAAGGCCCTTTGAATTCCTTTCTTTAGTGGAATTTATCCCAGTTTTAACTTCATTGTCATCTTTACTCCAGGTCAGCGTTATATCTTCTGGGAAAAACGCAGCCGTTTTACACACAAGTGTCAGAGACATTGTTGAATCTATTTCTGAATCTCTGGCGAACATCTTCAGTGGAGTGGGGGGGACTGTAGGACAGACAATAGAGCAGATTCAAGTTACTAGTGATCAGTTGGAATACAAAACTTTATTCTCATTTGAATTGTATGTGAATTGTTTCTTTGCAGTATCATAACAATAGGTTCCTCTGAGACGCTACACCACATGAAGGGTGCTACTGCAAGTTGTTTTTGCCATAACAAGGAATCTGGATTGTAACGGCAAGAAACGCATCCTGTTTGGGTGTTTAATTTGGAACAATGTTTAGGATATGAAACATTAAAAGATGTCTTGTAAGAGGTCCTGCCACAATTCACCAGATTAGGAGCTGGATTAAAGTATTAACTGTGATCAGAAGATGGGTAAACCTGATTTATATTTGATAGAACTGAGAAAGATGGGAGTTAATTTGATTGAGCTGTGAACAAATGACTGCATATTGGAGGTCCAGTAGAATAATAAATATAGGAGACAAATTCTAACATTGTGGCTAAACCTGTTAGACGTGACATGAACCTGGTCTGTTCACATTACAAAATCAACTCCCATAGGTGGTCTTAGATGCATATTGAAGTGGGATATTTAAAAGGGAGAAAGCTAAACATTTTAAGGGTTGGAAAGTGGTGGAGAAATTGGATTAAAAGTTATGCCAACATTCTCGAGCAACGACAACTGGCAATTTCACCTTCATCAGAGATAATAGCAAAACCTCCCCGTTAACACCAACATTCATTTTGTTCTGCTGTGTTTCTTCAAATTTAAGTTTCAAACCAACTCACGATAATTAGTATAGGTAATTCAAAATCAGTTCATGACTGTTGATGGAACATTGCTGTATGCAAATTGGTGCAAATTGTCCAAGTGTTTTTAAACATCTGCCTTTCATATAAATCAGTAAATTGTAAAAGTCTGGACCGCAGGTGAAAGAGATTCTGATTATCATCATTATTAATAGAAGCAGTGTTATCAGCATTATTGTTAGTATTATTAATAGTAGTATTATTGTTGTGTTAATAATAATAGTAATCATAATATTAATAATAAGACTCGCGTTCGATATGGAGCTTTTTGTGTCGAGATGATGTCTCAAAGCTTTTCACAGGAATCACTGTAAAAAGTGACGATTTTGTAGGAGAACACAGCAGCCAATTTTGCACACACCAATGTGCCACAAATAGTCAGGAAGTGAATAACCAACTTTATCTGGTGGAGTCGTCTGCTGGGACATGAGGGGGAAAGAGTCTCTCTTCTGGTTTCGAAAAGAACCACGGGATCGTTAACATCCACCTGAACATGCAGGAGGGACCTCGGTTTAGCGCCTCATTCACATAAGGAGAACCTTAAGTAATAGAGCAATGTAAAGGTCTGGACCATAGTGCAAGAGATTCTGATTAATAATAATAATGATTCAACCTCAAGCCATAGAGCGCGTTCCTAACATTGCTTTTGATTGTGTGCGCTGTGATCTTCATGTTTTGATGTTGGACAATCTGAATAAATGCATTCAGCACAGAATAAAATACCAGATAGAGTTAATATGATACTTGCGTCAATAGGAGGGTTATAACTGTTTGAAAGCGTTGCTTAAAACAATTATTGAGCAAATCAACTTCCCACTTTGCTGTGTGGTATAAACCCGCCATCTCCCATCAGTACAATAACAAATGGGCAATACTTTAAATGAATTTCGTATTGATAAAAATATTTCAGGTTAAAATAAAATCTTTCGCTGTGTTATGTACGATCACATGGGATTAAAAAATGAAACAAACAATTTGCCCAAAACAATTTCAAAATGCTGCAATGTTCGCCTTTCAACATTATTCACATTATCAACTGTATTCACACTTACCATGTACAATTAAACGTGATCCAGTTCCATTTGCTGCTATTTTCCCCTGACGGCTCACTGCACAGATATAGACTCCTGAGTCGTGGAAACTCACATTTAGGAGCTGGAACGTTTTGAAGTTGAATATTTTCCTGTTGTCAGGACTTGTATGTAAATATTCGCGCTCTCCTTGCTTCCACCAGTAAAAGGTTAAATCTGAAGTGGTCTGAATATTGGCAAACTTGCAGCCGAAGGTAACGCTTTCACCTTCGAATGCTGTCTTGTCTACAGGATATTGGATCACTTTCATAGATGCATCCCCAGCAACTGTGAGAAAATAAATCAAACCTATAATTGGTGATTATAGAGTTGAAGAAACGTGACAAAATAACTATAGGGAAGGAGGGAGAGAAGGTGGAAGAAAGAGAATGAGCGAGAAAGATTTATGCATCCACTGAAACATTTTAAAACTCTTCATCAATATTGTTTTGTATTTAAGATCCGCTGTAGTAAAACAATTACCTGCGAAAATAATCCCCATTAGAGAGAGACAGGGGATCACATCACTCGCCACCATCGTGATCAGTTGCTGAGACTCACCTCAACATGTTATTGGGTGTAACAAACATTTGCTGATTGTCTAATATGAAATAATTCGAAGTGTCATATGACTTCCTGTCTCCATGGTCAGAGATGAGTGGCATACGATTTGCAAAGAGAATTGTGCATTTCAGTTGTAACAAGAATCACTCCTCAGCTTAGCAATTTAAAAGGGTTACTTATATCCATATCATTGTCTGGTTTTGTTTTCTGCCTTCTTGCATAAATTATTCCTTATCATAAGAACATAAGAACCTAAGAAATGGTGGACGAAAATAGACCAAGGTCAATCTAGTTCACCTTCCACCTTCCTGGCGGTCGCATGCATATATGTCCCAAACTACCTATGTAGTATATCCCATAATGTTATTTCCTAAACCAAAAACATGTAATCTATGTTTGAAAGAATCAATACTTCCAGCTTCAACCGTTTCCCTAAGGAGCCAGTTGCATAGGTTAACTATTTGCTTAGTAAATTAGTGTTTGTGTAGATACATTCTGAATTTACACCACTTCAATCGCAAGCCGTGTCCTTTGATTTTACTATTCTGGGCAAGTTGAAACAACCTGTCATTTATCTATATTGTCTGACAGATTTAGAATCTTAAAGACAACAATTATGTCACCTCTCAATCTTCTCTTTTCCAGCGTGAACAGGTCCAACTTATTTAGTCACTGCTCACGGTCGAGTTCTTCCATTCCCTCAATCATTTGGTTGCCCTCCTCTGTTTCTTCTCAATTTCTCCAATATCCTTTTTGGACCTTCCAAACATTCACATTGATAATACGTACATAATAACGATCGATGTGTCTTTAAAGCTGAAATACAGAGCTAAATAAGTTACATTCTCTCTAGTTTAACATCAGCTTTTGGCTACACCATGGGACGGCAATCTAATGGAAAGCGCACAGAGAACAAAACGATATTTTAATCAAACACAAAGATTTGATGTTTTGAGCAAAGCTGCACAGTTTCCTCTGGAACCTGAGCATTGAATGCATTACCATACTGAATGTCTTTCCATATTTTATGTAATGGAAATCAATTAATAAGTACAAAGTTTATGATTTCATTAACAATACATTATGATTTGTCAATAGCAGATTTTTTGTAACAATTTAATTGCAGATATTACAGAAACACAAAATAAATGTTTCCATTTTTACAAAGTCAGTTTATCTTCTTTACAAACACTACAATCATACCTTTATAACATACTGTTCAGGCCTCAGCTAGACTACTGAGTTTAATTCTGGGCACCATACTTCAGGTTGGATGTCAAGGCTTTGGTGAGTGTGCAAAAGAGATTCGCCAGCATAGAACCAGGAATGAGCAACTTCGATTATCAGGAGAGGCTAGAGAAGCTAGGATTATTCTCTCTGGAGCAGAGAAGGTTAAATGGAGACCAGTTATACAAAATTGTGAGTGGATTCGATAGGGTGAACAAGGAAAAAATATTTCCACTGGCGGCTGGGTCGGTAACCCAAGGACACCGATTTCAAATAGTTGATAAAAGAAACAGAGTGACGGTGAGGAAATTTTTTTTCACACAGTGAATTGTTCGGATCTGGAATGGTTTGCCTGAAAGAGTGGTGGAAGCCGATTCGATAAAAACTTTTTAGAGAAATGTAGATAATTATTTGGGGAAGACAAGTTGCAGGGAGTGAGCGGTGAGTGGCGTTGAATTCAAGGGTTCTTTTGAAAGAGCTGGCACAGATATGATGAGCCAAAGGCCCTGCTTCTGTGCTGTACAATTCTATGATTGTATGATTCCGTAATACAGAGTGGCGGTGAGGAGAAATTTTGAATAAGTTTGAATGAATACAATACCAGAGGTACAGCTGAATTATAGAAATACCTCTGAATAAATAATAATAATCATTTACATATGGTTGATTAGCATCTATTTGCTCACAGCAATGTCTCATCAACAGATATGAAGTCAATGACCAATTTTCTCTGTAGAAATGCTGATCATGATACCCAGAGGATACACTTCAGTTTAGAAGTAATGTAAAAAGATCTACACAGTACACTTGAGCACGCAGCCTGGACTTCGTTCAATATTTCATCTATAAGATAATGATAACTTGCATTCTCATATATTACGACCTTCACATGGGGAAGCATCTCCGAACATCTCGAACTACACCTACTACAATGCAAACAAACCCATTATGACATTGAAGAGTCAGCCAAGAATATGAGTTTAAAGTCTTGACCTTCAGCTTTAACTCAAACCATTTTTTTCAGGTAGATATGTGTTACCAGGTGTCAACTAACAGGAATTTTGATTGCACAGCATTCTCAGCTGTGGATAATATTCTTGGAGAGTGTTTGCCAGCGGTCAGTAGAAGCAAAACATATGTGTGTTTTGGAAGGTTATGCTTTACATCGTTGAAGATTCGCACAAAACATTGTTTTACAAATTGTGCACAAGCTTGATATCGATATTAGGATTGGGAATTGGGAATCATCATTGTAGTGGAGCCTTTGGTTGAGCAATAGCCACTTACTTGGTATTGAAGGCTGATCAAAGATGAGCACATGAGAAACCGTGAATGTTCAATTAGAGTTAAGAAGGGGTTATTTACTTGGTGTTTTCTGAATCACAAAGTGTATACGTAAACTGTACTCGAATAACATGTTTAATGAATGATAGAAATGATGGAGAGGAAGATGTCATTTGTCTCTCTGATGGCAATCACGGATTCCGAGATTAGTGCTACGTTGAACGAAAAATCACCAGTACCAACCCATCAGAGAAAAAATAAAGACAGATTGGTACATCAAAATACACCGCCCCCCCTCCCCCCAACATATGACTCCAATCAGTTTTGGCCCTGATGGTCTGCAATAAGCTGAACTGCAACAAGGCTGCACAAGTGTTTTGTCGAGAAAAAACGTTACTGTGTCATTTGACTTCCTGCCTTTGATGGTTCAGGAAATTGAGTTTGTGGTAAAAGTGCAATTTGTAAGGTCACGTAATCACTAACACAATGATGAGATTAACCCAATCCATTGGTAGCACATAAAAGATTTAAATATATCCAGCCTTTAAGGCAGAATTCAAGATCACGTTATGGATCTCAGGATGTTGGGGTTAACTAATATCTATTTGGTGGATCATCTCTTCTTCGGAGAGTTCCATTCAATTATATATAGAAACCAATAGGCAACAACATTATTAGAACTAAACAACCTGCCTAACATCTTCACAAATGTCTGCATAATTATATTTTGTCATCTGGGTGTAGAACCCATGCAGAAAACCACGCTTAAGATTCTGCAAAGAGGGTGGGAGAGAGGGAGAGTGAGAGAGAGAAATGGAGAGAGCGAGAGAGTCTGTGTGAGAGAGAGAAAGTGTGTGAGAAAGCGTGAGAGAGAGGGGAAGTAAGTGATTCAGAGGGTGAGAGAGGGAGAGAGAGAGAGAGCATTGATGGAGAGGTGAAGACAGAGAAACCAAGAAAGTGAGAGAGAGAGAGAGACCAGAGAGAGACCAGAGAGAGAAGGCAGTATTTCTTGTTTCACTGTCAGGACAGATAGATGATCGGAGCCTCTCTCGGCCAACTTGGAGAGACCGAGGACAGACACCGAGGGGACGTGCTGTGCAGTTTCCTTACAGAAAGCTGCCTCTTTTCCCAGTGAAAACATCTCAATGTCCATCATCCCACAGCCCCTCCCCATCATATCCCTGCGACCTCTCGACCTGGCTGTTCTATCTTCTCAACCATCGCCATTTGCCCCTGATCTCTGGAGCTCCATTTCCGAAATCCCTCCAAATCATTCCCTCTGTCCCCTCTTTTAAGGCACATGAAGAATCATTTGACCGTGTTTTTGATCATCCTTTCCTCTCCCAGCCACCCCCATGCCTATATTTGTATATCCCCCTAAATAAAAACAGAAGGTGCTGGGAACATTCAGCAGGTGAGACAGCGTCTATGGAGAAAAGAAAGTAAGTTAGGTCGATTTCAGGTTTCAGGTCGATGACCTTCTCAGAATAGTGGGATGTTGGATGGGAGCAGTTTATAAGAAAGAACAAAGAAGGGGGCGGGAAAGAAAGACACAGGAAAAAATTAGGTGGAGGACAGTAGATGATGAGATCAGAGGTTTTGATGGTGCAAGACGAAAGAAGGCAAAAGTGGGAGATTAGAGGAAGGAAGGAAGTGTTTGCCACCCAAAGGATGTTTGATTGGTTTTACAAGAGGGCTGTGGGGAGAGGGGGAAGGGGAGTCGGGGCAAAGGCTGAGAGAAGATGGGAGCTGAAGTGGTTAAAATCAAAGTTGAGGCCAGAAGGCTGTAATGTGCTGAGGATGTAGATGTGGTGCTGTTCATCGAGCTTGCATTGTGCTTTGTTGAATTAGCATAGGAGACCATTGACAGAGAGGTCAGAGTGGGAGTGGGAAGGAGAATTAAAGTAGCAAGCGACAAGAAGGTTAGGGTTGCACTTGCGGACGGAACAGAAATGTTCAGCAAAGCAATTACCCAATTTACGTTTGGTCTCTCCAACGGGAGACGATGGAAGCAAAAAGTGTTGTTTGTTTCAAGAACAAATTAGATAGATTTATCATAGATAATAATATTTTGGGATACAGTATATAGATTGGGACACGGCATGTCAAGCGACTGCAGGATGGAGGGACACTAACTGATGGACCTTGGTCATTGTTGTTGTTACCAACATTACAGGATCAGAAAATAGATCTAAACAGTATTACTCAACTCAAATATTGGATGCATTTAATAGATTTCCGCATGTCCAGGGCATTGCTTTCCCCTGGGGCATGGGTAATCAATGATTAACTAAAGTACCCATATAGAGAACTTCAATAGAGGTTTGAAGGTTTTAATAGGGCAGACATAGGGAAGATGTTTCCACTTGTGGGGGAGACCAAAACCAGGGGCCATCGATATAACATCGATATAACAAATAGATCAAATAGGGAAGTTAGAAGAAATTTCTTTAAACAGAGAACAGATGGAATTTGGAACATGCTACGACAAGGATTTGTTGAGGCAAATAGTATAGATGTATTCAAGGGGAAGCTAGATAGGTACATGAGGGAGAAAGGAATAGAAGGTTATGCTTGAAGGCTCAGTTGATGAAGGGCAGGAGGAGGCTCATATGAAGCATAAACACCGGCATAGACCAGTTGGGCCGAATGACCTGTTTCTGTGCTGTATATTCTAATGTATTCTAATGTACCACAATGAACTTCATTCAACATTTTATTTATTGCAATTCAAAATTATGAAATCAAAGCTGTTATGTTCAATCACATCGCACCATACAGAGAACTTCGATAGAGATTTTAGGTGAGTGGTTTTACAGATATCACACAAAATTACAATAAAATCTTTATTCTTTGCCAAGCCATAACATCACCCTGACTAAAAAAAAAGCTCTATTTTAACACAACAAAATGTAATTTATGACACCTGGTGTTCAGGTCTGGGTAGTTCACACATACCAATGAGTACAATGTGAAAACACTTGAAACTTGGGGAATGAAAACTTGACTCAGTTTTCTGGTGGCAAATTTGAAAGTTTTGCCAATCTGGAAACAAATAACATAATAATCCAGGTTGTTTTTTAAATTAGGCTAAAACAGACAAATGTATTATTTTTAAAAAGATAAAAAATGTGAAGCATTAGGCTGGTCCAGTGAAATAATGCAAAAGGAAGATAGATCAAAGAGTAGATGCCTTCTGGATCCTTTTATGATGAAGGCTCTATGGCTACTGGTACATAGACTTATTAAAACCATCAACATCATTTTCAGATGCGGTCAGAAAAAAACAAAACTTGATCAACAATTGATGTTCAACTGGACTCCAGGATATGTACCGACATTATTTAAAAAACACATTAAGTGTTGCATTTGGTGTATTATATTATATTAGTAATTGTCGGTTAATTGGAGCCAAATTGACCAAGCTGGTGTACAATATTTTGACCTGGGTTTACGAAGAAAATCTATGAAATTGCTGATATTCAATGGGTGAAAAGCAAATAAGAGGTGATATTCTAGATATATTCCAAGTCTTAAATGGTATAAATCAAATGCAATCAAATATATTTGATATAGTATACCAGACCGTTATGTAACATCTTCTGTTTCTTCCAGTCAGTGCATTTCCATCAGCACAATTCAATCACCTCTAAGCGTTTTCTTCCTTACTTCCTCTGTAATGTACATAAATGGATGTGATGGGACAAGAAATGACAAGATGTATACGCTGTGAAGATATGGCCATTACTGAGGGAAAAGGAAAAGGAGTTGGTAGGATTAGCAAGTTTGCAGGGCTATGGGGAGAGCGCGGGGAAATGCGATTGATTTGGAAGCTCTTTTCAAAGAGTCGGCACAGACACGATCGGCCGAATGGCCTCCTTCTGTGCTGTATAATTCTGCGATTCTGTGATTCAGTAAGAAAACAAGAAGTGCAATTGTGAATATCACAAATCCTTTGATTCTGTGACTCACTGTAATCATTGTTGCGTTCCACGCAAACAAATTGACGTTTCAATCTGAAATGTTTACAACGAGACTGCAAACGTAACAGGTTTAGCTGATTTTTAAACGGCTGTTAAACACGATTTGCAGTGAGATTAATATATAATATGATAATCATGTAACAGATCTGGTTGCTATTGCACGAATGTATTGTTCAATATTTCCGGATACCTGAAAGTTTGGATTAGATATGTTTATATCCATTGATTATAAGAGATTCCGCCAACAGAACAAAAAATAATTTCCGCATTGTAAAGTGTGTTGTCCCTGTAGCAGCGAACAACATGAACCTGTTTCCGTTTCATTGATAACTGTATGTGCGACGATATAAACACAATATCTGTCAATGAAAAGTCAATGTTCTTTTAAAACAAAGAATGCTTTACCTTTTATGTGGGTTGATTGTAAGATAGTCAATAAGAATGATGGTCAACAGTAACACTGCCACAAAGCATAACGTAAAACGGATAATCATCATAACGGACATTCCACCATTATCTGGAAAACAAATTACGAAACTATAACATGTTTACATCAAAACTAAATAATCATTCTGTATTGGGAAAATGCACACGTTTTCCTTTTTTTACTGGAACGCTATAAAATGCGCATTCATTTTCAAATGAAAATAACAGCGAATAGTAGTGAAAATCAACGCGCGGCATTTTATTAGTGATGTTATAGAGACACAATTATATATTGTGTGGTAACAGTTCCCCATTGACTGTGCGCTCAGCTTCAAATGTACCGATAGAATGTGTGTTCTGACCCGAGCCATATAGAGCCACAGTCACCAAAACTCATTGCATTGGAAATGTGCTCTCATCCCGAAAATCTATAAAACATCTCACAAGCGAGTTTTATTTTAATGCAGTGATTGTTGTTATAAAGGAATACGCAACAGAAGATTTGCTCCAAATCGTCCTCAGAAAATGGAGTGGATTAATGAACCAATAGTATTTATGTTTCATTTGTGAACGTGTTTCAGTCCAAAAGTCCAATTTCTGATGAACGCGCAGGACTATTGCACTTTAGAGAGGTTACTGAATGCCGAAAACGTAAATAACATTTTGAAGGGGAGCTATTCAGAATCTAATAACAAAACAAGAACATACGCAGATTTGAGATATTGTTCGATTCAAAGACTATACATTTAGAATTGGATTTTTAAAAAAAAATATATGGAGTTTCCAGCGAGAAACTTATATGATTATAAATTGTTGCGTAACTAAATGTAAATACAATTTCCAGTAATTGGGTGTTTAACAACAAAAGCACCTTATTACTGGAAGACAATTTAGTCATCCTACCATAGAATCCTGGGTTTGGTTCAGAAACGGTGAACTTGGCAACTGCTGGAATCCGAAGGCTGATATGAGATACCAGACAGATATAAAGAGCCCCACTCTGTACAGGCTGTGTCTCTTCCATAGAGCTCCAAACTTTGTAGAGTCCCTTTGAGTTCCTTTCTTTTGTGGAGTTTATCCCAGTTTTAACTTCATTGCCATCTTTACTCCAAATGAGCTTTATATCTTCTGGGTAAAACGCAGCCGTTTCACACACAAGTGTCGGAGGTGTTGATGAATCTGTTTCAGAATCTCTGGGGAATATCTTCAGTGGGGTTGGGGGGACTGGAGGGCAGAAAATGGAGGAGAATCACATTACTGGTGATCAGTTGGAACATATAATTTGATTTCTATTTGAATTGTATGTAAATTGTTTCCTTGGAACATTATAACAAATAAGGCCCTCCGAGTCGCTACCCCACGTGAAGGGCCATATTGAAAGATGCTGTTGTCATAACAAGGGATCTGGATTGTAACTGAAGAAGCTGATCCTGTTCGGGTCTTCAATTTTGGAACAATGTTTAGGGTACGAAACGTTAAAAGGTGGAGGCGGTCCTGTCACTATTCAGCAGATTAATAGTTGGATACAAGGATTTAACTATGACCAGAAGATGGCTAAACCTGATTTACATTTGATAGATCTGAGAAAGATGGGAGGTAATTTGATTCAGGTATGAATGAATGATAGCATATTGCAGGCGCATCGTTCCAGTAAAGAAATAAAAATAGGAGACACGATCCTAACATTTTGGCTAAACCTGTTAGACGTGACATGAAACCGTCCAGTCCGCATGCAATACTATGATATTATGGAATCCCCTCCCAAGTGGCCTGGATGCAGATTGAAGTGGGATATTTAAAAAGAAAAAAGCTAAACATTTTAAGGGGCTGGAAAGTGGTGGCGAAATTGGGTTAAATGTTACGCCAGCATTCTCGAACAACAACTGAGATTTCACCTTCATTAAAGATAATACCAAAACATCCCCATTAATAACAACATTCATTTTGTTCTGCTGTGTTTCTTCAAATTTAAATTTCAAACCAACTTACCATAATTAGAATAGGTAATTCAAAATCATTTCATGACGACTGATGGGACATTGTTGTATGGAAATTGGTGCAAATGGTCCGAGTGTTTTTAAATATCTGCCTTTCATATAAATCAGTAAATTGCAAATGTCTGGACCATAGGTGCAAGAGATTCTGATTCTGATTATCATCATTATTAGTAGTAGCAGTGTTATTAGCATTATTGTTAATATTATTATTAGTAATATTATTGTTGTGTTAGCAATGATGGTATGGTAATAATAATTGTAATATTAATAAGACTTGCATTCGCCTTTTGTGTCGAGATGATGCCTCAAAGCATTTGATAGGATTCAATGTAAGAAAGGAGCGATTTTGTAGGAGAACACAGCAGCCAATTTTGCACACACCAATGTGCCACAAATAGTCATGAAGTGAAAAACCAACTCTATCTGGTGGAGTCGTCTGCCGGACAGGGGGGAAAGAGTCTCTCTTCTGGTTTCGAAAAGAACCACGAGATCGTTAACATCACCTGAACATGCAGGAGGGACCTCGGCTTAGCGCCTCGTTCACATAGGGAGAACCTCAAGCAATAGAGCAATGTAAAGGTCTGGACTATAGTACAAGAGATTCTGATTAATAAAAATGATGATTCAACCTCAAGCCATAGAGCGCGTTCCTAACATTGCTTTTGATTGTGTGCGCTGTGATCTTCATGTTTTGACGTGGGACAATCTGATAAATGCTTTCAGCACAGAATAAAATACCGAATAGCGTTACTATTATGCTTGCGTCGGTAGGAGGGATATAATTGTTTCAAAGCATTGCTTAAAACAATTATTAATCAACTCAAATCCCCACTTTGCTGTGTGGTATAAACCCGCCATCTACCATCAGTACAATAACAAATGGGCAATACTTTAGATGAATTTCGTATTGATAAAAATATTTCAGGTTAAAACAGAATCTTTCGCTGTGTTATGTACGATCACATGGGATTAAAAAATGAAACAAACAATTTGCCCAAAACAATTTCAAAATGCCGCAATGTTCGCCTTTCAACATTATTCACATTATCAACTGTATTCACACTTACCATGTACAATTAAACGTGATCCAGTTCCATTTGCTGCTATTTTCCCCTGACGGCTCACTGCACAGAGATAGACTCCTGAGTCGTGGAAACTCACATTTAGGAGCTGGAATGATTTGAAATCGAATATTTTCCTGTTGTCAGGACTTGTATGTAAATATTCGCGCTCTCCTCGCTTCCACCAGTAAAAGGTTAAATCTGAAGTGGTCTGAATATCGGTAAACTTGCATCCGAAGGTAATGCTTTCACCTTGATTTGCTATCTGTTCTACAGGATATTGGATCACTTTCATCGATGCATCTCCAGCAACTGTGAGAAAATAAATCAAACCTATAATTGGTGATTGTAGAGTTGAAGAAACGTGACAAAATAACTATAGGGAAAAAGGGAAAAAAGGTGGAAGAAGAGAAAGAGCGAGAAAGATTTATGCATTCACTGAAACATTTTGAAACTCTTCATCAATATCGTTTTGTATTTAAGATCCGCTGTAGTAAAACAATTACCTGCGAAAATAATCCCCATCAGAGAAAGACAGGGGAACACATCACTCGCCACCATCGTGATCAGTTGCTGAGACTCACCTCAACATGTTATTGGGTGTAACAAACATTTACTGATTGTCTAATATTAAATAATTTGCAGTGTCATGTGACTTCCTGTCTCCATGGTCAGAGATGAGTGAGATACGATTTGCAAAGAGAATTGTGCCTTTCAATTGTAACTGGAATCACTTCTCAGATCGGTAGCAAAGAGAAGGGGTGCATATATCCATATTATTCTCCGGTTTTGTTTTTAGTTCTTGCATTAATTCTTCCTTATCATAAGAACATGAGAAACTAGGAACACAAGATCCTGGCGGTCGCATTCATATATGTGGCAAACTACCTATGTACTATATCTCATAGTGCTATTTCCTAAAAGAAAAGTATCTAATCTGTGTTTGAAAGAATCAATACTTCCAGCTTCAACTGTCTGACTAAGACACAGTTCCACAGTTTCACTATTCGCTCAGTGAAATAGTGTTCATATAGATTCGTTCTGAATTTACCCTCCTTCAATTGCAAGCTGTTTTCTGTCTTTTTACTATTCTGGACAAATTGAAACAGCCTGTCCTGATCTATCTTGTCTAACCCCTTTATAATCTTAAAGACAGCAATCATGTCACCTATTTTTCAGCATGAACATGCCCAACTTACTTAGTTGCTCCTCATAGTTCAGTCCTTCCATTCCCTCAATCATTTTGGTTGCCCTCCTCTGTATCTTCTCAATTCATCCAATATCATTTTTGGAGCTTCAAAACATTCACATTTATGATTTGTATATAACAGCTAAGGAAGCTACATTCTCTCCAGTTTAACATCAGCTTTAGGCTACACCATGGGACGGCAATTTAGTGGAAAGCGGACGGAGAATCAAGCAGAATGTTTTGATTTATTTAATGTTCTGAGCCATAGTTTAATGTTTCTTCTGGAACCTGAGTAATTGATCATTGAATGCATTACCCTATTGAATATCTTTCCATATTTTGTTCAATGGAAATCAATATAATGAGTACAAAGTTTATGATTTCATTAACAGTAGATTATATTTTGTCAATAGCAGATTTTTTGTAACATTTTAATATTAATATTAATATTACAGAAACACAAAATAAATGTTTCCACTTTTACAAAGTCAGTGTATCTTTCTTACAAACTCTACAATCATAGCTTTATAAAACACTGGTTAGGCCTCAGCTGGAGTACTGTGTTCAGTTCTGGACACTACGTTTTCGGAAGGATGTGAAGACATCGGAGATGGTGCAAAGAAGATTTACCTGGATGGTACCAGGAATGAGGGCCTTCAGTTATCAGGAGAGGCTAGATAAGCTAGGATTATTCTCCTTGGAGTATAGAAGGTTAAGAGGAGTCGTAATGGAAGTTTTCAAAATTATGAGAGGGTTCGATAGGGTGAACAGTGAGAAACTATTTCCACTGGCGGCTGGGTCGGTAACTTGATGATACGGATTTAAAATAGTTGTTAAAAGAAACAGAGGGGAGGTGAGGCAAATATCTTTCACACAATGGAATGCATTGCCTAAAATGGTGGTTGAAGCCAATTTGATATCAACTTATAAGAGAGATATAGATAATTATTTGGGGAAGATAAGTCGTGAGGACTATGGGGAGAGCGCGGGGGAGTGGCATTGAATTGGATAGCTCATTTCAAAGAGTGGCACAGACATGATGGGCCTAATGACCTCCTTCTGTGATGTATAATTCTAAGATTGTAGGATTCTTAGATACAGAGTTTCTTTCAATGAATACAACAAAAAGATTACATTTGTATAGCATCTTTCACGTCGAGAGGACGTCCCAAAGCACTGGACAGTGTACAGCATTTCAGACCCGAGCTGGGGTCAAGGGGGAGAAGGGAGGGGAGGGGAAGGGGGGTGACCAATGGCATGGTTGAAGAGGAGGGTTTTGAGGTGGGAATTGAAAGAGGCTAAGGAGGGGGCGAGGTGGAGTGATGGAGTTCCAGAGGTTGGGGGCAAAGTGGCTGAAGGCTCTCCTGCCAATGGTGGGGTGGGTTGTTCGGGGGTCTTGCAGCAGGCCGGTGCCGGCTGAGGGGAGGGAGCAGGCAGGTTGGTAGGGGCTTAGGAGGTCACAGAGAGAGGCGGGGTGAGACCATTGGGGGTTTGTAGGTGAGGACCAGGATTTTGAACTGGATCCTCTGAAGGATAGGGAGCCAATGGAGTCGGGCAAGAATGGGGGAGATGGGGTCAGGGAGTTTGGTGCAGGAGAGGACATCGACTGCAGAGTTCTGGATTATCTGCAGTCTGTGGAGGGAGGAGTTGGGAAGGTCAACAAGCAGGGCATTTGCATAGGGGGCAAATAGAGTTTCAGCGGCCTGAGGGTGAGATAGTGGCGGAGTTGGGCGATGTTAAGGAGGTGAGAGAAGGCAGAGCAGATCATGGTTTGGATGTGGGGAAGAAAAGACAGTTGAGGGTCGAACAAGACACCTCGGTTCCTGACTGGCTTGGTGATTTGAAGTGTGCAATCATGGAGGTTGATGCTGCCAGAGCCTGAGGTGCAGAGGTGCGAGCGCAAGCCAATCAGGACGGCCTCAGTCGTATTCACATTCAACTGTAGGAAGTTTGCCCTCATCCAGGACTTCATGTCCGACAGACAGTCTGTCAGGACAGCAGTGATCCTGGAGTTGAAGGTGGAAGCAGAAAGATAGAGTTGGGTGTCATCCGCATACATATACAATACAATAACAGTGGTACAGCTGAATTATAGAAATATCTCTAAATAAATAATAATCATTTACGTGCTTGATTTGCATCTATTTGCCCACAGCAATGTCTCATAAACAGGAATGAAGTCAACGACCAATTTTCTCCAGGGAAATGTTGGTCATGATACCTAGAGGACCCACTTCAATTTAGTAGTAATGCAAAAAGACCTTCAACTAACACCTGAACATGCATCCTGACCTCATTCAATGCTTCATCTATAAATAATACTAACAACTTGCATACACACATACTACGACCTTCACATGGGAAGCAACTCCGAGCATCTCGAACTACACCTACGACAATGAAGAGCAAACCCATTATGACATTGGAGCATCAACCTTGAACATGAGTTTAAGTCTGGACCTTCGGTTTGAACTCAAACTGACCTTTTCAGGTAGATACGTATTACCAGGTGTCAAGTATCAGGAATTTTGATTGCACAGCATTCTCAATAATGGATAATGTTCATGGAGAGTGTTTCGTCAGTAGAAACAAAACATATGTATGTTCTGACGAAGGGTCGTGGACCCAAAACGTTGACTCACTTTCCTTTCTCTATAGCTGCTGCCTGACCTGCTGAGTTTTCCCAGCTCTCTCTATTTTTGTTTCAGATTCCAGTATCTGCAGTGTTTTGTGTTTTGAAACATATGTATGTTTTGGAGGGTTAGGCTTTACATCGCTGAGGTTCTGTACAAAACATTGTTTTACACATTGTGCACAAGCTTGATGTTGATATTAGGATTGTGAATTGGGAATCATCATTGAAGTGGAGCCTTGGGTTGAGCAATAGCCACTTACTTGGCATTTAAGGCTGATTGACAATGAGCACATGAGAAACCGTGAATGTTCAATTAGAGTTAAGAAGGGGTTATTTTCTTGCTGTTTTCTGAATCACATATAAATAGTATAAATAAACTGGATTCGGATAATGTGTTTAATGAAGGAAAGTAATGATGTATAGGAAGGTGATGTTTGTCCGTCTGATGGCATTCACTCATTCTGCGATAAGTGTTACTTTGACTGAAAAATCATCAGTACTACCTATCAGAACAAATAACAAGGAGAGATTAATACATTACAATACCAGCTTGCCCCTCAGCACAATGATTCCGATCAGTTTTGACCCTGACGGTATTTAATAAGCTGATCTGCAACAAATGATTTGCTGACAAAAATGTTTCTGTGTCATTTGACTTTGACAAACAAAAGCATTGGCGGTTTGCCAGTCTGCCCCCAACCTCTGGAACTTCATCCTCCAATCACTCCGCCTCGCTCCCTCCTTAGCCTCCTTCAAGTCCCGTCCCAAAACCCTCCTCTTCAACCATGCCATGGGTCACCCCCCCTTCCGCTCCCCTCCCTTCTCCCCCCTGACCCCAGCTCAGGTCTGAAATGCTGTGCACTGTCCAGCACCTTGGAACGTCCTCACAGCGTGAAAGGCGCTAAACAAATGTAATCTTGTTGTTGTTGACTTCCTATCTTTGAGGGATCAGTACATTTAGTTGGTGGAGAAAGAGCAACTTGTAAGGATACGTGATCACTAACCCTATGATGAGATTAACCCCATCCATCTTTAGCACATAAAAGATTTAAATTAATCCAGCCTTTAAACGTAATTCAAGGTCACGTTGTGGATCTCGGGATACTGAGTTTAACTGATACCTTTTGGTGGATCATCTCTTCTTCGGAGAGTTCCATTCAATTATATATAGAAATCAATAAGCAACAAAATTATGAGAACCAAACAACCAGCCTAACATCTTCACGGATATCTGCGTAATTATACTTTGTCATCCGGGTGTCGAACCCACACAGAAAACCACGCTTAAGATTCTGCCAAGAGGGTTGGAGAGAATGGGAGTGAGAGAGAGAAATGGAGAGAGAGTGAGAGTGGGTGAGAGAGGTATAGAGAGTGTGTAAGAACGCGTGAGAGAGAAGAGGGAGAGAAAGTGATTCAGAGGGCGAGAGAGAGCATGATAGAGAGGTGGGGACAGAGAAAAAAGTTAAGTGGAGGACAGTAGATGATGAGATCAGAGATTTTGATGGTGCAAGATAAAAGATAGCAATAGTGGGAGATTCGAGAAAGAAAAGATGCTTCTGCCACCGAGAGGATGTGTGAGTGGTTACACAAGAGGAGGAGGGCCGAGGCAAGGCTGAGAGGAGATGGGAGTGTTGTTTGTTTCAAGAACAAATCAGATAGATAATAATATCTCAGGATACAGTATATAGTTTGGGACATGGTATGTCAGGCGGCTGCCAGGAAAGAGGAATGCGAACTGATAGACCTTGGTTTTCTTTTGCCTCGCAAATTCATATGCTTTTGTGTTCTTAAGTTGTTGTTGTTACCAACTTTGTGGGATCAGAAAATAAATCTAAACAGTACTTCTCAACTCAAAGATTGGATGCATTTAATAGATTTCTGCATGTCCCAGACATTGCGTTCCCCGGAGGCATGGAACAATCAATGAACTACCATTATGAAATTCATTGAACATTTTATTTATTGCAATTCAAAATGTTGAAATAAAATCTGTTATGTTCAATTACAATCCAAAATACAGGGAACTTCGATAGAGATTTTAGGCGAGTGGTATTACAGGTATCAGAAAAATACAATAAAACGTATATTATTTGCAAAGCCATAACCATCACACACACTAAAAAAAAGCTCTATTTTAACACAATAAAATATGTAATGTATGACATCTGGCGATCAAGTCTCGGTAGCTCAAACATGCCACTGAGTGCAATATAAAATATCTTGAAACTTGTGGTAGAATGAAAACTTGACTCAGTTTTCTAGTGCCAAATTTGACAGATAACAATTTTGCCAACCTTGAAACAAACAACATAATAATCCGGGTTGTTATTGAAATTACGATAAAACAGACACATTTTTTACTTTTAAAAAGCTGAAAAGTGTGAAGTGCTTCGGCTGCCCAGTGAAATAAAGCAAAAGGAATATTGATCAAAAAGCTGACGCTTTCTGGGTCATTGTGTGGCGAAGGCTCTGTGGCTAATGGTACATAGATTTATTAACACCATCAACATCATTTTCGGTGACAGTCAGAAAAAGCAAAACTTGATCGACAATTCATGTACAACTGGACTCCGGGATACGCCTCGAAATTATTTAAAAACACTATATTCGCTGCGCTTGGTGTATTGCATTATATTAGTAATTGTCGGTTCATTGGAGCCAAATTGACCAAGCTGATGTATATTATTTTGACCTGGGTTTTTCGAAGAAAATCTGTGAAACTGCTGATATTTAACGGGTGAAAAAGAAATAAGAGGTGATTTTCCAGATATATTCCGACTCCTAAATGGTATAACTCAAACGCATTCAAATATATTTTATACAGTATACTGCTCATAATTTATAATCTTCTGTTCTTCCAGTCCGTGTATTCCATTAGCATAATTGAATCACCTCAATCGTTTCTTCCTCACTTCATCTATAACAAAACAAGTAGTGTAATCGTGAATATCACCAATCCTTTGATTCTATGATCAATTGTAATAATTGCTGATTTTCACCAAACAAATTGATGATTCATTCTGCAATGTTTACAACGAGACTGGAACCGTTACTCGTTTAGTTTAATTTTAAACGGTAATTAAACATATTCGGACAACACGATTTGCAGTGAGATCGCCTTTTACGTTGGAAGGACGTCTGAAAGCGCTTGGCTGTGTTTGTGGGGCTCCGGAGCTGGAGACGGAATCCGAAGTATTGCATATGACCCAAACCCAACCATGTAACACGGATCTGGTTGCTATTGCACGAATGTATTGTTCAATATTTCCGGATACCTGAAAGTTTGGATTAGATATGTTTATATCCATTGATTATTAGAGATTCCGCCAACAGAACAAAAAGTAATTTCCGCATTGTAAAGTGTGTTGTCCCTGTAGCAGCGAACAACCTGAACCTGTCCCCCTTTCATTGATAACTGTATGTGCGACGATATTTGTCAATGAAAAGTCAATGCTCTTTTAAAGCAAAGAATGTTTTACCTTTTATGTGGGTTGATTGTAAGATAGTCAACAATGATGATGGTCAACAGTAACACTGCCACAAAGCATAACATAAAACGGATAATCATCATAACGGGCATTCCACCATTATCTGGAAAACAAATTACGAAACTATAACATGTTTACATCAAAACTACTGAATAATCATTCTGTATTGGGAAAATGCACACGTTTTCCTTTTTTTACTGGAACGCTATAAAATGCGCATTCAATCAATTGCAAATAACAGCGAATAGTAGTGAAAATCAACGCGCGGCATTTTATTAGTGATGTTATAGAGACACAGTTATATATTATGTGACAGCAGTTCCCCATTGACTGTGCGCTCAGCTTCAAATGTACCGATAGAATGTGTGTTCTGACCCGAGCCATAGAGAGCCACAGTCACCAAAACTCATTGCATTGGAAATGTGCTCTCATCCCGAAAATCTATAAAACATCTCACAAGCGAGTTTTATTTTAATGCAGTGATTGTTGTTATAAAGGAATACGTAACAGCAGATTTGTTCCAAATCGTCCTCAGAAAATGGAGTGGATTAATGAACCAATAGTATTTATGTTTCATTTGTGAACGCGTTTCAGTCCAAAAGTCCAATTTCTGATGAACGCGCAGGACTATTGCACTTTAGAGAGGTTACTGCATGTCAACAACGCTTTGAATGAGACATATTCAGAATTTAATAACAAAACAAGAACATACGCAGATTTGAGATATTCTTCGATTCAAAGACGACACATTTAAAATTGGATTTTACATATATATGGAGTTTTCAGCGAGAAACTTATATAACTATAAATTGTAGCGTAAATAATGTAAATCCAATTGCCAGTAACAAGGTATTTAACAACAAATGACAGTAAGACAAGTAACTTCCTACCATCAACTTCTGTTTTGGGTTCAGAAACGGCGTAGACGGCAACTGCTGGAATCCGAAGGCTGACATGAGATACCACACAGGTATAAATAACTCCGCTCTGCACAGACTCTGTCTCTTCCATAGAGCTCGAAACTTTGTAAAGTCCATTTGAATTATTTTCTTTCGTGAAATGTATCCCAGTTTTAACTTCATTGCTATCTTTATTCCAGGTGAGCGTTACATCTTCCGGGTAAAACTCAGCCGTTTCACACACAAGAGACTGAGACTTTGATGAATCTCTTTCAGAATCTGTGGGGAATATCTTCAGTGGGGTTGGGGGGACTGTAGGGCAGACAGTGGGGCAGAATCACATTACGGGTGAGCAGTTGGAATATGAAATGTTATTCCCAGTTGAAATGTATATGAATTGATTCCGAGCGACATTTTAACAAAGGAAGGTTTTCCGAGACGTTAACCCATGTGACGGGCGCTATATAAATGTACGTTATTGTTGGCATAACAAGGAATCTGGATTGCAACGGCAAGAAACTGATCCTGTTCAGATGTTTTATTTGGAACAACGTTTCTGGTACCAAAGATTAAACGATGCCCTGATTAGAACAGGTAATTCAAAATCATTTCATGACTGTTTGTGGGACATTTTTGAGCGCCAATTGTTCATGTTATTTCAAATTGTCTAAGTGTGTTTAAACATTTGCCTTTGATATGAATCAGTATTTTTTTAAATGTCTGGACCACAGTACAAGGGTTTCTGATTAATAGTAACAAAGCTTGAACCTGAAGCCATAGGGCTCTCGCTCAAACATTGCATTTCTTTGTCTGTGTACACTATAATCTTCATGTCTTGATGTGTGAAATCTGACTAAATGCGTTCAGGTCAGAATAAAATACCATATAGAGCTAATATTCTACTGACGGCAGGAGGAGGGTTATACATGTTTGAAAGCGTTGCATAACGGAGTTATTAGCGACTCACATTCCCACTTTGTTGTGTGGTATAAACCCGCCGTTCCCTTCAGTACAGTAACGAAGGGGCAAAACTGCATTTGAATAATATTCCATTGATAAAATGTATTTCGGGTTAAAGTCAAATCTGTTCCCGTGTCCTGTGCTATCATAACTTTTTGTGAGAGTAGAAAATAGTACTCTCGCAAAAAGTTATGACAGTACAGGACATCAGTTTAGTGTAGAGTAGTTTATCCATAACGATTTCAAATTGCCTCAATACTCGCCTTTCAGCATTCCCCGTTCCTGTTGCACTCACACTTACCATGTACAGTTAAACTGGTTCCAGTCCCATTTCCTGCTATTTTCCCCTTATGGACCGCTGCACAAATATAGACTCCGGAGTCGTTGAAATTCAGATTTAGGATCTGGAACGTTTTGTAATCAAATATTCTCCTGTTGTCAGGTCGTGTGTGCAAATATTCCCTCTCTCCTCGCTTCCACCAATATAATGTTGTATCTGAACCAGATTGACTGTCAGCAAACTTGCAGCCGAAGGTAACGTTTGCACCTCGGATTGCTGTTCGCTCTGCAGGATACTGAATCACTCTCATCGATGTACCACCAGTAACTGTGAGAAAATACATCAAATCTATCATTAGTAATTGTGGAATCTAAAACTAGAAAAGTGACAAAATAGCTATAGGACAGGATGGAGAGAAGGTGGAAGAAAGGAAAAACAGATGAACGTATTCATTAAACACATTTTGAAACTCTTTATGAATATCGTTTTGTATTTAAGATCCGCTGTAGTAAAATAATTACCTGTGAAAATAATCCCCATCAGAGAAAGACAGGGGAACACATCACTCGCCACCATCGTGATCAGTTGCTGAGACTCACCATCAACATGTTATTGGGTGTAACAAACATTTGCTGATTGTCTAATATGAAATAATTCGCAGTGTCATATGACTTCCTGTCTCCATGGTCAGAGATGAGTGACATACGATTTGCAAAGAGAATTGTGCCTTTCAATTGTAACTGGAATCAGTCCTCAGATCGGCAATCAAGAAGAAGGCAAATATATTCATATTATTGTCTGTTTTTTTCTGTGTTCTTGTAATAATTCTCCATTTTCAGTCCCCGTATTCACATTGATAATTAGTATATAATAAAAAATTATATGTCTTTATAGTTGATGTAGAAACCTAATGAAGCTGCATTCGCTCCAGTTTAGCATCAGTTTTAGGCTACACCATGGAACGGCAATCTAAGTGAAAGCACACAGAGAACCAAATGATCTTTGAATCAAACACAAATGTTTGATTTATCTAATGTTCTGAGCTAAGGTACAATGGTTTCTCTTGAACCTAAGCCTTTAATCAATCAATATATTACCATATTGAATGTAGTTCCATATTTTATTGAATGCAATTCAATATAATGAATACAAAGCATATCTGGATGATTTTTTAGTAACAATTTAACAATAGATATTACAGAAATGCCAAATAAATGCTTCTATTTTTACAAAATCAATTTATCTTCTTCACAAACACTACAATCATACAGAATCTCTTTCCTTTACAGGATAATAATCCTTTACATGTGATTTATTTGCACGTATTTGCACGCAGTAGTGTCCCATAAATAGATATGAAGTGAATGACTAATTTTCTCTGAGAATTGTTGGTCATGATACTCAGAGGACCCATTTCAACTGAGGAATGATACTAAGAGATCTTTAACCTACCCCTGAACAGTCAGTCTGGACGTTGGTTCAACGGTTCATCTGAAGGATAAGAAGAACACTCTGCAAACATATTGCGCCTTTCACGCGGAACAGCTTCTCCGGATATCTGGAACTACAGCGACGACAATGCAGAACACAGCATTACAGCATTGAAGCATCAGCTTAGAATATGGACTCAAAGTCTCAACCTTGGGCTTAAACCCAAAGTGCACATGTTACCAGGCATCACCTCGTTTAATTGCACAGCTTCCTCAGTCTCAGCTGTGGATAATGCTCGTGGATGGTGTTCAGTGGCGGTCAGCAGACGTGAAACATATGCATATTTTGGAGGGTTGGACTTTAAGACAAAGAGGTTCCGCACAAACTCTCATCAGGTTATGTTTCACGAATTGTGCACAAACTTGATGTTAGGAGTGGGAATGGACATCGTAATGGATCCCTGGGTTGAACGCGAGGCCACTCACTTGGCATTTACGGCTGATCAATGATGAGCTCATGAGAAACCGAGATCGTTCAATTGGAGAGAAGAATGTTTTTTTTTGGTGTTTTCTGAAACTCAAGGACGCAGTTCGGTCCTCACCAAATACCAAAAATGTTTGTAGCAGAATCCATAACAGCTTTTAAAAGGATTTTAGAACTCATTGCTCCTTTGCCTTTTGTATGGATTTTAAATTACTGTTATGAAGACTATGGATAAACCATGTGACAGTTGTAGTTTAAGAATTGACAAAATGTATTATTCGTTAAGATGTGCTGAGTTGTAGTATTTTGGGTTGAAGTTATGCAGTGATCGAAATTAAAATTGTATTTCCATTTAATATGCTTTTAATAATATTCTTGCGTTTGGTATAGCGCCTTATCATGTCTTCGAGAAGTCTGAAGCGCTTTTAAAATGAATAAAACGCGAAAGTTATTAATGGACAAACAATATAAATAACCATATAACGTTCACCGCATTTATTACTTTTTGTGTGATTTCTTAATGCCAATTTCGCTCTTTATTCACACTCACCGCACACAGTTAATCGCGATCCAGATCCTCTTCCAATTATTGATCCCTGACGGACCACTACACAGCGACAGACTCCAGAGTCCTGTAAACTCACATTCAAGAACTGGAAGAAGCCGTTTCCTTTAGTTTTTACACCAAATAGTTTCCTGCGATCCTCCTTTGTATCCAAATAGCCGCTCTCACCCTCCTTATCCCACTGCACCTTCACTCCTGAACTGCCTTGAGGGAAGGGAAAGTTACAGTGGAAGGTAACGTGTGTCCCTCTGATGGCAGCCACAGGGTCGGAGATTTGAATCACTTTCACCGAAGGATCGCCATCAACAGTCAGAAAATAAAGTCAAACACTGACTTCTTAGATGATAAGCAATGGAGAAAACAAATGAGTAAAAGAGGAGAAAACGTAGGTGTATAAGATAAATGTCACATGAAAACAAGTTTGCACATATTTCATAGAAGAACTGAACTATAGAATGAACATATATACCTGTTGAAATAATATGTAAGGCCGACAGGTACAGGAAGACAACACTCCCCATGTCTGTCTCTGGCGGACATTTATACGAGTGACAGAGAACTCTACTTTTCAACGTCTACTATTGATTTCCAGATCTTCTGTCACAAGTGACCGTGGATTATTTGGTACAGAGTAGGTCGCTGTGACACTGACTTTGTTTCTTTGGGTTCGTGAAATGTTGCAGGTGTGCAGAATGCAATTCGAAATCACACTTTTACATCAAAATTGTAAAAATAGTAACCCATCCTGTGAAGATCAGAAAACAAGCTGAGCGTATCTAAACTTAAAACACACACCGTTCAGCGTCATTAATAGTTTATGGTGCTTTCTACAACTGGAAATGTTGATTTGAGCACTAACTCGTGGAATAAGTGGTGTCAGAAACATTCCAATCTGATGGGCCATCTCTTCTCATGCTTTTATCCAGCTGTCCCCTGTTTATAGAAATTAACCTTTCCCTCTCTTCTGGCATAGTGCGTCCCTGTTATCACTCCATGAAAATGTTCACCCCCATCCCTCTAAATTGTCGGTCCATCTCCAACTTACCCTTTGTATCCAAAATCCTGGCCACTCAACACATTTATACGAGTGACAGAGAACTCTACTTTTCAACTTCTACTATTGATTTCCAGATCTTCTGATGCTCTCACCGTTTGCGTGTCAAGACATGGATGAGCCCAGACTTCTTCGAACTTCTAATGCATGATGGAAGCCATCCTTCTTGTCTACTGTTAACAACTCCTTTCTCCCAGGGATTGCTGCACCCTCTCCGCACCACCATGAGTGGCCGAACCTTCAATTTTATGCCCACAAAATATACACAGTTGCATCATTTCACAATGTATCCCGTGAAGCTCTTTTGAATTGTCT